ATAGAGACACTGCTGTTTATCTGCATTTGCACATTTCATCTTCATAAATTGCTCAGGCATCTTTAATTTGCCCCCTCCTCTGCCTCCCACAGCCTTTGTTCAAGTCTTATTCCACTCTTCTGCTGGTGTTGCTCCAGGGCTGGGCTGGATGCCTGAGGCCGAGGTAAATAAGAAACCACTGCTATCCTCAGAGGGGCCCAGCCCTGTGAAGGAGAAAGATGTGTGTACTAGTAACTATTACTCAATTCTGATACTGGAGGCCTGAAGTGGGGGGACAATCTGAGCGTCCAGCTATAGGACTGCTTACATAAATTGTCTCTACGTGATGGAATATTTTATAGTTGTTCCAAAAGATGAGGGTGGTTTTATGTATTGATATGAAAAGCAATTCATGATTTTATATATAAGTATATATGTATGTATATGTGTGTATCTATCTATCTATCTATCTATCTATCTATCTATATATCATCTTCAAGGACTAATAAACCAAACCATTATTAGAGAATATCTAGTGGGCTCATAAGAGACTTTCATTTCTCATTTATGCATTTAAGGATCGTTATAATTTTTCTAACAAGAGCGTATACTGTTAAAATCCATGTTCATTTTTCAACCATTCAACAGGTGTTGTGGGGCACCTACAGTACCAGGCTTTGCTCCTGGGCACTGGGGACACAGTGAGTTCACACAGGGGACAAAATCCCTGCCTGTTCATCAGGTGAGCACTGAATACACTGCAGGCAGGAATGAGTGGCGTGCAGGGGTGGAGAGAGACTTGGCAGGAGGAAGGGCTGTGATAAGAGGATGCTCAAGGAAGGCTTCCCTGGGGCGGTGACATTTGAACCGAAACCTGAATGATGAGGAGGGACCATCTGTGCGGAGAGCTGAGAATAACAGTGTTCCAGAAGCAGAGAATGACAAGTGCAAAGGTCCTGAGGCACACACTCGTTTGGCTGACTCAAAGAACAGTCAGGATCTGGGGGAGCTGGAGTGTGGTGACGGAGGGGAGAGTACAGGAGATGAGACTCAGAAGTTCGGGGCCGGATCCCACAGACTTCACAGGCCGCGGTGAGAATGTTTGCTTTTTCTCTGAGTGAGATAGAAGCCAAGGGGGGGCTTTAAACAGGGATTCACATGAGATGACTTATGCTTTAAAAAGATCATTCTGGCACAAGTGAATCAGGGGGCAAGAATGGAAGGAGGTAAGCAGTAAAGAGATTGTGGCAGGAATCCAAATGAAAAATGGATGTGGTTTAGGCTAGTATAAAACAAAAAGATATTTCCCATGTGAAGCACAAAACTACAATGGTCAGGCACAAACGAAGAAAAATGCGGGCCATGGTAAAAATACCGATGACAGACAAATATTTTTCCAGGGGACAGGGTCGGGAAGCAAGGGGCGAGAGGGTGTTGGAGAAAATGGCAAAGAGGGGCAGTGTTTTTGAAGGGTCTTGAAAGCATGACTGTGGCTAGCCAGGTGGAAGGAGGTCAAGGGAAGAAGGGGAGCACTAGTCTGAGAACACGCCAAACTCGGCTCAGAGGTCTTGGTGAAGGAGGGAGGGGAAGAATCACACGTCACACACGCTCACACGCACACACGCGCGCACACGCATCCATGCATCCGTGCACACACAGGTGTGTGCGCGCATCCATGTGTCTGTGCACGTGCCCACAGATCCGTGCACACTTGCACATGGACACGCACCGTGCATCTCTGCCTATGCACACACACCCCCATGCATCGATGCACATGCACACACTCTGACCTGTACACACACTCTCACAGCAATACCCGCTCGTACATACACACACGGGCCCTCGACCACACATACACACACACACACACACACTCACTCACTCACTCACTCACAGAGTCTCGGAAGGCCTAGCTTTTCAGCCGAAGAACCAGGCATTTAAGAGCCCAGCCGCTCAGGTTCAAAACCCAGCGTCTTAACTGTATGACTCAGGCAAGCCAATGAACTCTCTATGCCTCAGTTTCCTCACCTGTAAAATGAGGACTAAAAGGAGCCAATGTAGGGGCGCCCGGGAGGCTCAGTTGGTTAGGGGTCTGCCTTCAGTTCAGCTCACGATCCCAGGGTGCTGGGATCAAGCCCCGCATCGGGCTCCCTGCTCAGCGGCTAGTCCGCTTCTCCCTCTGTGATCTCTCTCACTTTCACTCTCTCTCAAATAAATAAATAATATCTTTTAAATAAATTTACAAAAAACAAATAAAATGAGCCAATGTGCGTAAAGCTCTCAGAACAGTGCCTGGCACCCAGTAAGCACCACATAAAGCTGGTTAGCTTGAGTGCCATGATTATTACCATGTCTGGCAGACCAGAAGGTAAGTCACAGAGGGAGCCGGCGCAGGGACAAGAATGCAGGAGAGGAGTGTGCTTGGGGAGAGAACACACCTGGGCTCAAACACCAGCCCCAGACTCCCAGTGTGGCCTCGAACCACACACTCCGTCTCCGCGGCCAGGGGTCCCCGTCCGTGAGACGGACTGTCACAGTGAGAGGCGAGCACAGGGATGGACCCTTGAGCACCACATTCCTGCAGGCCTCTGCGGAGGGCCAGGTCGGGGGGCTGCGCGACAAACCCCGCCGATCCAAGAGACAGCTGAAGCACTTGACAGGCAGTGAGTACGTGAACACCGTCCTGCCACTTGGCGGCAAAGGCAGCACACTCAGCCTCCTTATAAACATTTTTATATACACAGCCAGAAGATCCGTGGCGTGGCCGCCAAGCCCCGAAAGAAAAATCACGAGGCCAGTAAAACACAAAGATACAATCTCTCTGGGGCCCTCGGTCCTCATAAAAGAAGCAGGAATAAAGGTCAAATGTCTCCAGGAGGAAGACGAGCATCCCACATGCTGCCGTACACGGACACATGCGTACACACGCCACACACGCTCACGCATGTGCACACACACAGCCATGCATGCCCACGCTCAGACACGCACACGCACAGGCTCAGCCGGGCACACAAGCACATGCACGCTCACAGGGGCACACGCGTGTACATGTTCAGCCACGGGTGTGTGTGCCTGCACCTAGTCGCGGGAGCAGCTGCTCGTGTATGCATATGCTCACCCTCCACCCGACACACATACACGCTGACGTGTGCACACACAGGCCGTGCTTCCCGGAAGCCAGAGGTGGAACACAGGCGGCCCCCCGACTCCAAGGTCTTGGGGGTTATGTGCTGAGCACTGGCGAGGGGCTGCCTCCAAGTTCGGGCTTGTAAGACGCGGGACAACGGAGGGGTCTGAAGCCTGGGCTCTGCCCCGCATGAGAAGGGACACTTAGGTGGCTCCATGTCTGTAAGGCTCAGATTCCTCATCCGGCAGTGGGCTGAGTTGTGGGGGGGCTTCTCAGTTAATGCCTGGGAACACAGTGCGGGCACGTATCAGCACTAGGATTCCTAGCGCTTCTTGACCTCTGCTTAGAAGCTGAGGCCCCGATGCTCAGCTCAAAACTTCAGGGGTGGTCACCTGTAGCAGCCAAATGGGGCACGGTCGCTGGGAAGCCAGGGAGGAAACTGAGGAGGCAGCCCCCACTGCTGAAAGCCTGCTCAGCGGGGGGTGGCTGGGCCTTTTCCTGTGCCTGGGGGTCCCTGTCTCATGGGCTGCCACTTGGCCGGAGCTCACCAAGGGGACAGTGTCTGCGAGGCAGGAACATCACCAGCCTCCATGACACATGGCCCCCTTGCCCACGCCCCCTCTGCCAACACCTGAGATGGGTCAGAGACCAGACCTCTGGTCCCTGACCCTCCAGACACTGACTGCAGGGAAGCTACGAGCCCGGCCCCACCAGCAGGGGGCGTGAGTGGCCCCAAGCCCTGGACTTCAGCATTTCTACTGAGCCTCCGAGATCCCCCTTGTTGGGACAGTTTCTAGGACTGGACTTCTGCCTCAGTTTCCCCACCCCGGCACCCAGAACCAGAGCCCTCTCCTAGTCTCCAGGCTGTTTGAAGACACCAGCACACCTGCTCTCTCCTGGCTGCCCTCCTCCTTGGCGGCAGGGGGTAGGCGGGTCGGGAGGCGGCCAAGCCCCTGTGTTCCTTTGGCAGCACGTCCTCCAGCATCTGCTCTCTTGCTCTCCCATAATAATAAAGCCCCTGACTTAGCTGAGCACACACAGTTGCCGGGACAACAACCTCATTTCCCAGCCTCCCTTGCAGCCGGGATCAAGTTCTGGCCAAGGAGACATGAGCAGGTGCTGTGGGCAACTTCTAGAAACCTTGGAGTTGACACACAAGCTTTGCCCTTTCTCTTTTGCCCCCTCTAAGCTGCTGCCCAGAAGGCAGGTGTGACAGCTGGAGCACCAGCCGCTGTCTTAGACCATGAATACAAAAGCACAGAGATGATGGAAAGGGGCAGCAAGGTTCTGGAGCGGAGCCACCCTGGACTGGCTGCTTTCAAACTTTTATAAAAGCAGTGCATATTTCTCCTCTGAAGCCAGCTATTTTGGACCACCATTCCTTACAGCTAAACCTAATCGCTGTGCTCACCCCACACTCAAGCTGGGGCCAGCCCCTGACCATCCTATCTGAGCATCACTGGGGGTCAGAATCTCTGCTCTTGGGCCCTGTGCACCAGGGAGTGACAGACACAGGAATCTGGTTTCCCGCCCCACCCCCCAGGTCAAATCCTGCAGCTGGGATGCAGTGCCCCCAACACTGGTGTAGCCTGACCCCAACTTCCGCACACCCGTCCTACCTCTCCCCAAATCCTGGTGCACACTGGAAGTATGAAAGCGTAATGACTCTCAGGACCGCCCCACTCAGGGGGAGGACAGGATGATCCTCCATCTGCCTCTCTCCCCTTCCCGACTGCTCAAGAAACTCGGAGCTTGGCAGGATTATGGCTCTCTGGGGACCCATCGCCCAGGGATGCTGCTGGAAGAAACCTCATGGGGCTGAGGGAAGCCACCTGGGCAGGAACTGTCTCTGAAGGGCACTGGGCTTGCACACCTGAGCGGGGGCCACACTTACCCTTCTCCGATGCCGGGGCCAGGTCAATGAAGCTGCGACATTTTTCACCTTCGAAAAGAAAAGAAGGGTTTTCAGAATGTGAAAGGAAGTGAGAGCTTCAGGCTTTCGCCTCTCCCCTTCCCTGAGCCTCGTCACCGAGCAGGGAGTGGGGCCCCGAGCATCTCTAACCCTTATTCCTGGAAACTCAATGTCCCCGAGGAAATTGTGGACGGTGAATCTGCAAACTCAGCTAAACAGCACAAGGGATGTGGCCTCTGAGCTCACCCCCTTTCCAACCCATCCAGCCAGGTGGCTCGCACCTGTCCAAGCCCCGGGCCCCTTCCACAGCCCCCACCCCATCCAGACCCAGCAGGATAAGGGCAACCCCTCGCTGGGCTCCCCAGGCCTCCACACTGCCCCCGCCAGAGGGATGCTCTCAGGACACACGCTCTGATCGCATCACACACACACCCAGGCATATACACTCCTGCTCAAACCCTCTGATGACCTTCCAAAGAATGAAGCCCAAGTTCCTTCATGGGGATCCCTGCACTCAGCCCCAACACTCCACCAGGAGGCCTCACACATGCTGTTCCCCCTGTCGGGGACACACTTCCCCTATTACGAGCTCTCACGGCACGCTGACCCTCTCTGACACCAGTCACCTTACAATTCCACTTGTTGCATATGATTCTTGGATGGATGGCCCACAAGTTGTAAATGCCATGAGGGCACGCCCCATAATCTCAGTGTGTTCCCAGCTTGGGAAATGGCAACTCCATCCTCCCGGGTGCTCAGGCCAAAACCTTGGTGTCAACCTTGATTTCTCTCTTTGTCTCACACATCCACATCTGATCTGTGGCTCTTGCTTGGTGGTATATCTAGAATCCGACCACTTCTCACCCCCTCCATGGCTCCAGCCACCATCTCCCACCTACATTATGGTGGTAGCCTCTGCCTGGGTCTCCCTGCTTCTGCCCTTCTCCACACAGTGGCCAGAGGATCCTGTTATAACCTGTGAAGGATTATTATGTCCTTCTCTGTTCAGAACCCTCAGAGTGAGAACCCAAGTCCTCCCAGTGGCCGACAAGGCCATCACCTCCCTGACCTTATCTCCTATTAGCTTCCCCCTCACTCACTTGGCCCCAGCCATATTGGCTTCCTTGCTGATCCTTAAATGTGCCAGGTATACCCCTACCTCAGGGCCTTTGCACATCCTGCCACTTCTACCTGAAGCATTTTTCTTTCAGATAGCTGAATGGTTTACCCTTCCTCTTTCTTATCACCTTCCTCAAAAGTTACCTTCTCAGGGAGGCCTTTCCTGGCTAATCTATTTAATATTCCAAAGGTCCCTCCCCTGACTGCCCATCTCTCTTCCTGCTGGACCCCTACTGCCTGAAACAGTGTCTGGTACATAGTGAATGCATAATACATATTTATTGAAGGAGTGTATCAATGAATAAACAAAAGGATGACTAGACAAACAGATGAGCAAATGAATGAATGAATGAATGTCTTACACCCAAACTTTAGGTGTAAAGTTTACGAAACTGCAACTGTTCAGTCTCTTCCAGAGCCTCCTTCACACTGGGCACTGGGCTGACCACCAAGGACACAGTGATGAGCAAGATGGCCCAGCCTCCAGGCCCTGTGTCACAAAGGTAGCACACACAGGATCCTGACAGAGGAAAAATGTTGCCTACAAATCCAGCTGAAGAACCAGAAGAGCTGACTATGCTGGGCCCACAGCCCACACAGCAACAATCAAATGGGCCAGGCAGATACTGCCCCCTTCAGATGGGGGACGAGCCCTGGAGTCTGCCACAGTCCCCGCCCCTCACTGCTGCTCTCCCTCCAGCCTCACGGAAGCCACCCAGACAGCCCCTGGGACACTAGATCGGATGACCTTTAGGATCAGCTTGCCACCCTGGGTTTAAGGATTTTACTGCTAATCCCAGCAAGGATATAGATTTTGTGTCAAAATGGAACCAATGTGAGTTGGGGGGTGAAAGAGACCTGGAAGCTTCTAACATTCTCAATTCATGTGTCTGCTTGAAGCTTCCTAAGCTCTCTAAGAAGGTCCCTGGAAGCCCCTTTGGTATCCTGAACGTCCTTCCAGCCCCATATAAATGCAGTCAGACAAGGGGTGTGCTGGCCGATGAGGCTGAGAAGGAAGGCAGGAGCCAGATCACAAAGGGTCTTGAGTGCCAAGCTAAGGAGTGGACTCATGACTTATTCACATCACCCCTCCCAAAGAATCATGAGGCCACAGGTGGCTGGTTGGGGCTCCTGTGGCTTCCTCCCCAGGCTCTATGCGGAGATGCAGGACCCTCAACTCCTTTCACAGATAAGGCTCAGGGCCACTGAGTGACTAACCAGGACCACGCAGCAAGTCAGAGGTACCAAGATTAGAACCCACTGAAAGAGATGTTTGCTGACAGCCAAGAAATGGAAAGGAGGATAAAAACGTAAGAATTGATGGCGTGCTAGAATGGAGGGATTTGAATGAATTGTTTCGAACTTTCTTTAATGTTATTTTGTTTTCTCAAAATCTGGAGAGAGAAAACATTAATGGTCAAATTCAGACCAACACCCAGGGCCACGTTCAGACTTTGTGGATCTGAACACTTTGGCCTGTTGGGATCCTTCCCAAATTAAAAAAAAAAAAAATTAAATTAAAAATTATATTTTATACTTGCATTGGCTGAAGACAAATATATTAACATTGTATGTTAAAATTTTTCTTCAGGTGGCGCCTGGGTGGCTCAGTCATTAAGCGTCTGCCTTAGGCTCAGGTCATGATCCAGGGTCCTGGGATCGAGCCCCGCAACAGGCTCCCTGCTCTGCGGGAAGCCTGCTTCTCCCTCTCCCACTCCCCCTGCTTGTGTTCCCTCTCTCGCTGCGTCTCTCTCTGTCAAATAAATAAACAAAATCTTTTTAAAAAAAAATAAAAACTAAAAAAATAGAATTTTTCTTTGCCTAAAAGTTTATCTTTTTCTACTGATTTTAAAAGAAATTAAAACTTTTGTTTGGGTCCATGAGAGCATTGTGGCCCTTGGCTCCATGACCCCGGATGGGAGGGAGAAGGGGGCCCTACAGCTCTGGTCTCCCAGCTCCACATCAATGTCTTCCCACCACCACTGGACTCCCGATAATATATAAGACTGATGTGCTAGGCATTTTGCCGTCTCTTCTTTAACAGTTTTACTGAGCTACGATTCACATGCCATATAATTCACCAATGTAAAGTACACAATTTAAAGGTGTTTAGTGTATTCTTAGTATATTCACAAGATTGTGTGACCATCACCACAATCAATTTTATTTTTTTTTTTTTTTTTTTTTTTAAAGATTTTATTTATTTATTTGTGAGAGGGAGAGAGAGAGAGAGGCAGAGGGAGAAGCAGGCTCCCAAGGAGCAGGGAGCCCGATGCGGGACTCGATCCCAGGACCCCGGGATCATGACCTGAGCCGAAGGCAGACGCCTAACCGACTGAGCCACCCAGGCGCCCTCACCACAATCAATTTTAGAACACATTCATTACCCCCAAAAAGAAACGCCATACCTATTACAATCAGTCCCATTTCTCCCAATCCTCCAGGCACTGGGTGACCACTGATCTATTTTCCCTCTCTACAGATTTGCCTATTCTGGACATTTCACATAAGTGGAATTATACAATAGGTGCCCTTTTGTGTCTGGCTTCTTTCACTGAGCATGATGTTTTCACATGAATCAGTGATTAAGGCTGAATAATATTCCATCATATGGATACATCCCATTGTGTTTATCTTCATTGGTTAATGGACTTGGGGTTTGTTTCCACTTTTTGGCCATTGATGAACAAGATTCATGTACAAGATTCTGTGGGGACAAGTTTTCATTTCTCTTAAGTATATACCTAGGAGTGGAAATGCTAGGTCATGTGGAAACTCTATATTTAGCCTTTTGGGGAGCTACTAGACTATTTTCCAAAGTAGGTGCAGCATTTTACATTCCCACTAGCAATGTATAAGGGTTCCAATTTCTCCACATCTTTGTCAACACTTGTTACTCTTTTTTTATATTAAAGGCATCCTTCCAGGTGGGAAGTGGTATCTCATTGTGGCTTTGATTTGCATGGCTCTAATGACTAGTGATGTGAAGCATCTTTCCATGTGTTTCTTCACCATTTGCATGTCATCTTTGGAGAAATGTCTATTCAGATCCTTTGCCCATTTTTAATTGGATTATTTTATCATTTTATTACTGAGTTCTAAGAGTTCTTTTTATATTCTGCATACATACACCTTATCAGATATCCAACTTGCAAGAATTTTGTCCCATTCTGTGAATAGTCTTTCCACTTCCTTGATGGTGTCCTTTGAAGTGCAAGAGTTTTAAATTTTGAAGAAGCCCAATTTATCTATTTCTCTTTTGTTGCTCATGTTTCTGTGTCATATCTCAGAAGACTTTGCCTGACCCAACATCATGAAGATTTCTTCTTTCTTCTAAGAGTTTTATCATTTTAACTCATAGCTTTGGGTCTCTTATCTATTTGATGTTGACTTATGTATATGGTGTACAAAAGGTGTCCAACTCCATTCTTTTGCATGTGGATATCCAGTTGTCCCAGCCCCATTTGTTGAAAGGCTGTTCTTTCCCCCATTGAATTGTCTTGGCACCCTTGTCAAAAATTAATTGACTATAAATGGGAGGGTTTATCTTGTTCTCTCAATTCTATTCCATTGATCTATATATCTATCCTTATACCAGTACCACACTGTTTTTGATTACTTGCAGCCTTATAGTAAGTTTTGAAATTGAGTAAGCCCTCCAACTTTGCTTTTCATTTATAAGATGATTTTGGCTATTCTGGGTCCCTTGCATTTCCATATATGAATTTTATTTTTTAAGATTTACTTAAAAATCTTAAAAGGGGGACAGAGGGGGAGAGAGAGAGAGAGAGAGAGAATCTCCAGCAGACTCCCTGCTGAGCACAGAGCCTGATGTGGGGCTCGGTCCCAGGACCCTGAGATCATGACCTGAGCAGAAATCAAAAGTCAGACACTTAACCGACTGAGCCATC